GCGTGCTGCCCCTCACTCCTCCCAGTTTCCTCCGACAGAGGCCCCGTTGCAGACGCTCCACATGGACGTGTGGGGCCCAGCCCGCGTCCGTGGGCAGGGTCACGAGCGCTACTTCCTGCTCGTTGTTGACGACTACTCGCGTTACACTGCAGTCTTCCCCTTGCGCGGCAAGGGTGATGTCACTGAGGTGCTGATCGACTGGATCCGCGCAGCTCGTCTCCAGCTCAGGCAGAGCTTTGGCTCCGACTTTCCTGTTCTGCGTCTGCACTCGGACAGAGGCGGAGAGTTCTCCTCTGGCCTTCTGCGAGCCTACTGTCGTGCACGAGGCATCCGTCAGACCTTCACGCTCCCGGACTCTCCGCAGCAAAATGGGATTGCTGAGCGCCGCATTGGCATGGTCATGGACGTCGCTCGTACGTCTATGATGCATGCGGCTGCCCCCCATTTTCTGTGGCCGTTTGCGGTGAGGTACGCGGCACGTCAGATCAACCTTCACCCCAGGGTCTCCAGGCCGGAGACCTCCCCAGCCTTGCTGTGGACCGGGAAGGTGGGCGATGCGTCGGCGTTCCGGGTCTGGGGATCTCGGGCGTTTGTCCGCGACTTGTCTGCGGACAAACTGTCCCCTCGTGCTGCTCCTTGCGTCTTCCTGGGGTTCCCCCCAGACGCGCCTGGGTGGCAGTTCTACCACCCCACCTCTCGCCGTGTTCTGTCCTCTCAGGACGTCACGTTCGACGAGTCGGTACCCTACTACCGCCTCTTCCCCTACCGCACTCCGTCCCCCCCCCCGCCCCCGCTCTTCCTTGTACCAGATCCCCCCCCGGTAGACCCCCTCCCCCCTCAGGGTCCTGCCCCTTCAGGTGTGTCCCAGGTAGACGCAGTCGAGCCTGTCGAGGTCACTGGTGACTCTGGTGCTGCTGGGGGTGCTGAGCCTGGGGGTGCTGGGCCTGGGGGTGCTGGGCCTGGGGGTGCTGAGCCTGGGGGTGCTGAGTCTGGGGGTGCTGAGTCTGGGGGTGCTGAGCCTGGGGGTGCTGAGCCTGGGGGTGCTGAGCCTGGGGGTGCTGAGCCTGGGGGTGCTGAGTGTGGGGGTGCTACGCCTGGGGGTGCTTTGCCTGGGGGTGCTGGACCTGGGAGTGCTGCGCCTGGAGGTCCTCCGCCTCGAGTTTCTACGCGTGCTTTGTCTCGCCGGGAGCCACTCTCTCCACAGGAGCTGCGCGAGTGGTTTGCCCGGCGCTGGAGCCGTGCTGCTGGTGCTGGAGGTTCGTCGGCTACTGAGGGTGCTGCTGTTGCGGGTCCCGGAGGTGCTCGTACTGGGAGTACTGGAGCTGCTGGGCCTGCGGGTTCGACTGGAGCTGGTGCTGCTGAGGGTGTTGCCGCTGAGACTACCACTGGCGGTACTGCTGGGGGTGCTCCTGGTGTTGCTCGAGGTTCTGGAGCTACTGGAGGTGCTGCTGGAGCGGGTGCTCCTGCTGGGGGTACTGGTGCTGTCCCTGCTGTTTCTGGCGTAGCTACGCGGCCTCGACCGTACTTCGTTCCACTCCTGCAGCAGGTTCTTGGTCTTCCGCCCTCTCCTGGTCCTCCTCCTCTCTTGGAGGGTCCACAGCCTGTCCCGTCGCGGTCACTGCTACAGCCTACCTCCCCTTTGCCTGCTCCTTCTCCCTACACTGGTCCTACTGGAGGTCTTACTGAGCGTCGTGAGCCTGCGTCTCGCCCTGCGTCGCCTGTCCGTGCTGCTCGCGCTAGTGGTCGTGGTTCGCGTCAGCGTCCTCCTCCTGTCCCTGGCACGCACAGGATGTCTCTGCGTCCGTCTACTGCTCCTCTGCGTGCCCCTTTGCCTTCTCCTCCTGAGTCCTCTCTTCCTGCTCTTCCCGACCCTGCGTCGGACTCTCTTCGTGCTGCCAGTCCTACTGTCACGCGTCTCCTTGCTACTGTCGTCACTGACCCTTCCTTCGAGTCTACTGCTGCGTCTGCCCTAGTTACTGAGCTCGTCGACTTTGCTGCTCGCTGTCGCCTAGACTACGCTGCTAGTCTTGTCGCTGAGTCTGGGTCTGCCTGTCCTCCGTCAGTCGGGGGTGAGTGTGCCCTTGGCACGGACGTCCTTGAGGACAGGCAGGAGGAGTTCCAGTGTCTGGCAGCTGCTTCACCTCATCTCGTGTCCGTACTGCTTACCCCTGAGGGAGACCCGGATGCACTTGACATCCCGACTCCGCGCTCTTACGCGGAGGCGATAGAGGGTCCCTACTCCTCTCAGTGGCAGGCAGCTATGGATGCAGAGATGGCTTCCTGGAAGTCCACAGGCACCTACGTTGATGCTGTCCCCCCTCCTGGGGCGAACATCGTCAGTGGCATGTGGATCTTCAGGGTGAAGCGGCCGCCGGGTTCTCCGCCTGTCTTCAAGGCACGTTACGTGGCTCGTGGCTTCAGTCAGCGACAGGGAGTTGACTACTTTCAGACCTTCTCCCCCACCCCGAAGATGACCACTCTTCGGGTGCTGCTACACGTTGCTGCTCACCGTGACTACGAGCTGCACTCTCTCGACTTCAGCACTGCTTTCTTGCAGGGCAGCCTGCACGAGGAGATCTGGCTGCGCCGCCCACTTGGCTTCACTGGGTCTTTCCCTCCTGGTACCCAGTGGAGTCTCCGGCGTCCAGTCTACGGTCTCCGCCAGGCGCCACGTGAGTGGCACGACACACTGAGGACTACGCTTGCGGCTCTTGGGTTTGCTCCTTCTACTGCCGACCCGTCGCTGTTTCTACGCACCGACACCTCTCTGCCGCCGTTCTACATCCTCGTGTACGTCGACGACTTGGTCTTTGCCACAGCTGACACTGCTGGACTCGCCCACGTGAAGTCCGAGCTGCAGAAGAGACACACGTGCACAGACCTGGGTGAACTGCGCAGCTACCTTGGCTTGCAGATCACCCGGGACAGAGCACGCCGCACCATTACCCTGACTCAGTCACACATGGTGCAGCAGGTCCTTCAGCGCTTCGGCTTCACGTACTCCTCGCCTCAGGCCACTCCTCTGCCTACTCGCCACTCACTCTCAGCTCTGCCTTCGGATGAGTCCGTAGAGTCGAGTGGCCCGTATCCAGAGCTTGTTGGCTGCCTCATGTACCTGATGACCTGCACACGACCTGACCTTGCATACCCTCTTAGCATTCTTGCACGCTATGTTGCTCCTGGGAGACACCGACCAGAGCACATGGCTGCAGCGAAGAGGGTGTTGCGATACTTGTGCAGTACGTCGGGCATGGGACTAGTGCTTGGAGGGCGGAGTCCAGTGGTCCTCACTGGGCACGCGGACGCTTCTTGGGCTGACGACCAGGCTACGCAGCGGTCGTCGCAGGGTTACACCTTCAGTCTTGGTTCCGGCTCTGTCTCGTGGCGAGCTACTCGCTCGTCCTCTGTTCTCGGCTCCAGTTGTGAGGCTGAGATCTACGCCGGGGCCATGGCTGCACAGGAGCTTCGCTGGCTCACCTACCTGCTGACTGACCTTGGAGAGCCGCCTCGTTCTCCTCCAGTGCTGTACGTAGACAACAAGGCCATGCTGGCCTTGTGTCGAGAGCAGCGCTTGGAGCACAGAACGAAGCACATTGCTCTCCGTTACTTTCTTGCTCGTGAGCTGCAGCAGCGTGGTCAGTTGCGACTTGCGTACGTGGCCTCTCAGGCCAACACTGCTGATGTGTTCACCAAGGCACTTGCGCCTTGTGACCATCAGCGCTTCTGCACTCAGCTGGGTCTTGTACCTGTCTTGCCTCACTTGCTCTCCTCTTGACCTTACTTGTAGTGTCACATATATATACCTGCTCTTGCTTGTCTAGCTCTATATATATATGTGTACTCCTGCATGTGAACTGGCCTTGTGGCCTTGTCGTTGTGCTCGGACTGTGTGGTGACGTTGTGATCCACCCTGAGCTTGCTCTGCTTTGCTTGACTGGTCTTGTGACCCCTTGTTCTCCCCCACTTTGCCTATGGGGGTGTGTCAGAACATTATATAGCTTATGCTGTTGTGTAGGCTATAGTGGGGTATACCGTAGGGGGTACAACCCAATTAGGGTTTTCTATATGTACTCACCTCATTCATAGTTCATCCATCCTCGTTCTTCATTCTTCTCAGCCACGTGTCGAAATCGTAACAAAAGTATCTTCTGATTGCCTACATAGTAACCTAAATGCCAATCTGGTCAACATTATTTCCAGAATGGTAATGAACAGTGCATTCCGAAATCCAAACTGGTAACTCGTCAGAACAACTGCGATGTACACCGTACGTACCCTGTATGACTCGGCAAAACTGAAAATGAGATGAATATATGTTTCGCATTGTAACATTTATGTCTTAATTCCACGTCTATAACTTGAACATGTGTAAATGAAAGTAATACAATGAATGCTAATGTTGTTGTCGAATTGTTGTCTTGACTAGGGATTACGAAATTAAAATGGATCTTGAATACAGTGACTACACAAATGCAATGCTAGTCTTTTATAAATATAAACAACATATCTGGAAATCGAACCTGTCACCGTATGTAATATCGTATTTGACCAACGTCATGAAATGCGGCGTGGTAGGTGTCAGAATATTATGTTTCTCTAGTCTGCAGTGGGGTACTCTATAGTGAGTACAGCCCTTTTAGGGTTTGCTATATGTATCCCAATGTTTGCTAGTGAACACCACTCTCTTCTCTCATTCATTTCTCGGTCATTCTCACAGTAGGATATTTGCCATTACCTGCAGGTACCCGTGCTAAACAGGTACCCGTGCTAAATGCACCAATGTTGGAACCCCTTTTAATCACTACAACAAGCCCAAATTACTTGAGATCATGGCGATCTGTTGTTCACGATGAATGTATGAGCTTTAGCTCAACAGTGGGGCTACTCATCTTCTTCAACCTGTTCTTCTGAGAATTCAGTTCCACCTTGTCCACCTTCTACACCTATCGCAGAGTCACCACCATCCGCAGGTTGTATGGCGTGGATTGGCGCTCCATACGATGGCCATTGGTGATTCATGTATGACTGCATTGGCACCGTCCATGGGTATTGCCTGTACAGCCCTTCTCGTGGTGTGCCAACCCTTCTATACATGCCACCCACATGATAAGATGTGGCAATCCCTGGCTCCGGCATAGGGACTCTAACTCCCTGCCAATGCAAACCCAGCTGCTGCAGCCACACGCGCTGCTGAACCGCCCGCTGTTGGTCTGCCTGCTGCGCCATGCCCTGCTGCGCCATGCCCTGCTGCGCCATGCCCTGCTGCGCCATGCCCTGCTGCGCCATGCCCTGCTGCGCCATGCCCTGCTGTCCCCCCTGCTGCTGCCCTGCCTGCCACATCCAATCTGCCTGCTGCTGCCATGCCTGCTGCTGCCCAGCATGCTGCTGCCCCGCTTCCTGCTGCCCTGCTGGCTGCTGTCCTGGCTGCTGTCCTGTCTGCTGACCTGTCTGCTGCCCTGCCTGCTGCCCTGCCTGCTGCCCTGCCTATTGCCCTGCCTGCTGCCCTGCCTGCTGCCCTGCCTGCTGCCCCGCCTGCTGCCCATGCTGCTGCCCTGTCTGCTGCTGCCCCGCCTGCTGCCCCTGCCGCTGCCCACGTATCTGTTGCTGCCGTCTCTGTTGTTGACCTCTTTGCTTTTGCCGTCTTTGCGGCTCTCCTTCCCCTTGAGTTTCACGTCGCCGGATTCTTTGAGACGGGCCACCAGACATACTTCTCTCAGTAGTTTCTGTTCCAGCATCTTCCAAATCTGGCACTTGTTATTGTAGATTCAGGCGTGACAGCTTGCGCAAACGTCCCCGGACAACAGCTACGGTACTTCTTGGGCCCGCCGTATTCACATTCCCCTGTTGTGTACCCTGTTGCTGCTGCTGCTGCCGCTGCTGCTGTCCCTGCCCATGCCCTTGCCCCTGCCCCTGCCCTGCTTGCTGCTGCCCATGCCCCTGGCCATGCTGCTGTTGGTGCCCCTGCCCTAGCCCCTGCTGCTACTGCTGCCCCTGCTGCGCCTGCTGCTGCTGCTGCTGCTGCGCCTGCTGCTGCTGACCCTGCCCATGCCCTTGCCCCACCCCCTGCCCCTGCCCTGCTTGCTGCTGCCCATGCCCCTGGCCATGCTGCTGTTGCTGCCCCTGCCCTAGCCCCTGCTGCTGCTGCTGCTCCTGCTCCTCCTGCTGCTATCCCTGCCCATGCCCTTGCCCCACCCCCTGCCCCTGCCCTGCTTGCTGCTGCCCATGCCCCTGGCCATGCTGCTGTTGCTGCCCCTGCCCTAGCCCCTGCTGCTGCTGCTGTTGCTGCTGCTGCTGCTCCTCCTGCTGCTGCCCCTGCCAATGCCCTTGCCCCTGCCCCTACCCTGCTTGCTGCTGCCTTCCCCTTCGCTGCTGCCTCTGCCCCCGCTGCCCCTTCTGCTTCCCCTGCCGCTGCTGCTGCTGCCCCCCCTAATGTTGCCTTTTCGTTGGCCGCAGTGGCTGCCGCCTCCCTGCTCCCTCCTCCTCCTGCCAGTCGCTTCCTTCAGAGTCTGATGTGAGGTAATACTCCGTATCCTCATCGCTCGCAACTCCTTGTTCTACTCTCCCACCATCACCTTCTTCCACATCTCCACTCCGTCGTGCTCGAGCTTCCATCTTTCGTACAGCTGAACAACGAATCCCGTCACGATGTAGCTCTCCACACGCGCTGCACTTTGACACTTGTACCTCACCCATCGCAATTGTGCATGTTTGCATCTCAACATGAGCTTGTGGTGATTGACTGGCTTCCCATGCTGCTCGTTGTGCTGCCCGCAACTCACATGTGCGCACATTATGACCCTTCTCACCACACTTCCCACACTTTTTCATCTTATCACCATCCACCTCACCAGAACTTCTGAGACGTGTTGTACGTGGACGCCCTGACCTCTTTGGGTACGAAGGTGGCTTGGTGGTCTTATTTGGAAACGCCTCGGTAGGGTCGAACGGGACAACAGGCGTACTGTATACATTTTTAAGAGCCTCCACTTTGTCAAACTTATATGCTATAGTCTGTATAGGCTGTAGTGGGGTAGATAATATGGGGTACAACACTTTTAGGTTTTCCTACTTGTACCCACCTGTTTCCTTGTGCATTCATTTCCTCGTTCTTTCACATGGTATAGAGCAGGTTCCCTAGTGGGAACGTTTCCTAGGGCCCACCGAAAAGCGAATTTTTTTTTTCCTGCCCGGAGCGCGCTTCGCCCCTGCCCGAGTCGCGCCCCGTGTGCCTGCCCTCCCGTCGCGTCCCCTGCCCTTAGCGGCCCGTCGCGCTCTCTTACGGCCCCGTAGCGGCCCCTCTCACGGCCCCTCACGGCCCCTCTCACGGCCCTTCGCGGCCCCTTCAGGCCCCTCGCGGCCCCTTCGTGGCCCCTCGCGGCCCCTTCGCGGCCCCGTCGCCGCCCTTCGCGGCCCCGTCGCCGCCCTTCGCGGCCCCGTCGCCGCCCTTCGCGGCCCCGTCGCCGCCCTTCGCGGCCCCGTCGCCGCCCTTCGCGGCCCCGTCGCCGCCCTTCGAGGCCCCGCCGCCGCCCTTCTCGGCCCCGTCGCCGCCCTTCGAGGCCCCTCGCGGCCCCTTCTCGGCCCCGTCGCCGCCCTTTCCGGCCCCTAACGGCCCCTTCTCGGCCCCGTCGCCGCCCTTCGCGGCCCCTCACGGCCCCGTCTCGGCCCCGTCGCCACCCTTCGCGGCCCCTCACGGTCCCGTCTCGGCCCCATCACCGCCCTTCGCGGCCCCTTCACGGTCCTTCGTGGCCCCTTCGCCGCCCTTACCGGCCCCTTCTCGGCTTCTCCGCGAACAGCAGCAGCCGCCGCCAGCAGCGGCCGCCGCCGCCGACAGCAGCAGCCGACAGCAGCAGACGCCGCCGACAGCAGCGGCGGCCGCCGACAGCAGCAGCCGCCGCCGCCGACAGCAGCAGCCGCCGCCGCCGCTGCCGTGACAGCCGCCGCCGCCACTGCCGGGGCCGCAACCGCCGCAGCCGCCGCTGCCGTGACCGCCGCTGCCGGGGCCGCAACCGCCGCCGCCGCCGACAGCAGGAGCCGCCGCCGCCGTCGCGGCCCTGTCCCTGCCGATGCGCCTCGGCCCTGCCCCACCACTTGCGGGCCCCTACCCACCCGCCCTGGTAAGAGCACCGCCGAGCCGCGCCTGCTGCTACTGCTACTAGCCTGGTGCTGCTGCTCTCATGGCTACCCCTAGCGTTCTCACCTTTGATGCTGAGGGTCGGGCTGTCGACTTTGATGTCTGGGTCGATGATCTGCAGCTTTTCCTGCAGTGCGATAGGAAAGACGGTCTCTCACTGTTCGATCTCACGTCTGGCGCCTCTCCTGCCCCTACTGCCGATGCTGACAGCACTGTTCGCTCCCAGTGGGCCACACACGATGCTGCTGCCCGTCTTGCTGTGCGTAGTCACTTGCCGTCCACTGAGCGCGCGCACTTTAGTCAGTACAAGAGTGCTAAGACCTTGTACGACGCTGTAGTTGCACGCTACTTTTCCCCTGCCACTGCTGCCCTTAGCCGCCTCATGCTGCCGTACCTGTTCCCTGACCTCGCCGCCTTTCCCACAGTCGCTGACCTCATTACGCACCTTCGCACTAGTGACACCCGCTACCGCGCTGCGCTTCCTGCTGAGTTCTGCGCGAAGAACCCCCCCCCCATGTACATCACCCTCTACTACATAGTCACCCGGCTCCCTGACTCCCTTCGCTCGGTCAGGGACCACTTCCTCTCTGTTTGCCCCACCACACTCACCGTTGACCTCCTCGAGGAGCGCCTCCTGGCAGCTGAGAAGAGTATAGTCGCTGTAGGAGCCTCTCGTGGTGACCCTCGTACCCCCTTCTTTGAGGGGTGCTCCCCCTCCCCACTTTTGCCCTCTATTGCCTCTGCTGTTGCCGTCGACTTCGTTGGCACCGAGTCGGTCGGCGCTGCGTCTGCCCCTAGCGGGAGACGCCGCACCGGCAAGGGCAAGGGGGGCAAGGGCGCTGGAGGGGCTGGCGGGGGCGGTGGAGGTGGCGGTGGAGGCGGCGGAGGGAGTGGGGGTGGCGGTGGGAGTGGTGGCGGGGGTGGGGGCTTCGGTGGCAGCGGTGGAGGCGGAGGCGGCGGCGGCGGTGGCGGTGGGAGCGGAGGAGGAGGCGGTGGCGGCGGTGGCGGAGGTGGCGGCGGCGGAGGTGGAGCTGGTCGGGGTGGCTCTGCGCAGCGGGGCGGCTTCGGTGGTGGTCAGCGCCAGCAGCAGCAGCGCACTCGTGAGACCCCGCCCCCCCAGCAGCTTCGTGAGTGGTACGCTGCGCGTCAGCGGGGTGGGGGTGCTGGTCCTTGTGCCTACGTCCTGCGTACCGGCGACCGCCCTGGTGAGCCGTGCGGGGGCCCGCACGCCACCCAGCGCTGCTTCGGCCGCCTGACGGACGCTTGGCGTCTCCAGTTCCCTGACGCCACTGAGATCCCCCGCTGGGGCAAGCTGCTTAGGTCGGGGGTTGCTATCTTTGATCTGGATTATGATGCTATTCTTACTGCCATGTATGTTGTGTCTACTAGTAATGAGGGTGACTGTTACCTGTGTGTTCCGCCTGACCCGGGCATTGAGGCTGCTGCTCTAGGTGCTGGTGAGGCTGCTGCTCTAGGTGCTAGTGCGTCTGCTGCCCCAGGTGCTGGTGAGTCTGCTCTCTCAGGTACCACGTCGTCTCAGGCCTTACACACCTTCACCCTTGACTCGGGTGCTTCCCGCTCCTTCTTTCGAGACCGCACCACGCTTAGTCGGCCAGTTGCGGTTTCCCTGGCGGACCCCTCCGGGGGTCCTGTCCTTGCCCACTTCTCCACTGTCTTACCGTGTCCGGCGGCCCCCTCTGGCACCCTGTCAGGTCTCTACCTCCCCTCGTTCTCTACGAACTTGGTGAGTGGTGCTGATCTACAGGATGGGGGGGTTGACCCGTTCACTCCTGCGAGTCAGCGGGTGACCCACTGTACGTGCGCTCGGACGGGCCGACACTTGGCCACGTTTACCCGTCAGCCGGGGTCGAGCCTGTACACACTGACTACTGAGTCTCCTCCGGTTGCTGAGTCTGGTCAGGTAGCTGCGTCGGGTCAGGTGTTTGCTGCAGCGTCCAGGTCTGGTCCTGAGTCTGCTCCCTGCTCGTGTCGTCTCCTGTCCCACCGGACTCTCCTCTGGCACCACCGCCTTGGTCACCCCTCCCTGCCTCGTCTCCGAGGCATGGCCTCCCGTTACCTTGTCTCTGGTCTCCCCCGGTCCCTCCCTCCCCTCCCTCCGGGGCCTGCCCCTACCTGCGTTCCCTGCGTCGAGGGGCGGCAGCGCGCCGCTCCTCACTCCTCCGAGTTTCCTCCGACAGAGGCTCCGCTGCAGACTCTTCACATGGACGTGTGGGGCCCCGCCCGCGTCCGTGGCCAGGGTCACGAGCGTTACTTCCTGTTGGTGGTTGACGACTACTCGCGTTACACCACGGTTTTCCCCTTGCGCAGCAAGGGTGACGTCACTGAGGTGTTGATCGACTGGATCCGCGCAGCTCGTCTCCAGCTCAGAGAGAGTTTCGGCTCGGACTTTCCTGTTCTGCGTCTAAACTCTGACAGAGGCGGAGAGTTTTCCTCTAACCTTCTGCGAGCCTTCTGTCGTGCACAGGGCATCCGCCAGACGTTCACGCTTCCGGCCTCTCCACAGCAAAATGGGATTGCTGAGCGCCGCATTGGCATGGTCATGGACGTCGCTCGTACGTCCATGATTCA